GGCATCCCAGGTGGCAGCTGTGCACCAGGGGTAGCGGGCGAGCAGTCTGGGTGCAGCAGTCGCTCAGGAGACATGCAAAGCAAGAACTGTCATCACTGTGCCTCTGGACCAAGCTGCTGGGGCATCCACTCCATGACAATGAGGGAGTGAACCAAGGAAAATGAGAGAATGTGATTCAAATAACAATACAAAGCAGGGGAAAGGGAAAGGAATTCCTAAGACAGTAGCAAAGGGCAGAGTCCCAAGACAGCAAATAGTCAGAGCATCACTAGATAGAGGGGAACAAAGGTCCCCAGCAGGGCTACCTCCAAGAGGAAAGATTGAAACTAATAATAAAAGAGATGGTCTTAAGGAAAATTGTAGAGAGCTATTGGCAGGTGTGGGAAGCCTTAGCAATAGCTACAAGGACAACTGAGCAAAAATTTTTTTTAAAAAAGGGCAATAATTAAACTATAAGAAAAAAAGAGAGAGAGCATAATCATAGTATACTACAATGCTCAGCAATGAATAATATTTATGTAAAAGTAATATAAACCCTAAATATCAATTTAACCAAAAAAGTAAGTGTTGGGATTTTTTTTTACCAAAAGGAAATGGTGATCCAAGAAACCTAAAACTTGCCCTGACCGGTTTGGCTCAGTGGATAGGGCGTCGGCCTGTGGACTGAAGGGTCCCAGGTTCGATTCCAGTCAAGGGCATGGGCCTTGGTTGTGGGCACATCCCCAGTGGAGGGTGTGCAGGAGGCAGCTGATCGATGTTTCTTTCTCATCGATGTTTCTAACTCTCTATCCCTCTCCCTTCCTCTCTGTAAAAAATCAATAAAATATATTTTTAAAAAAGAAAGAAACCTACAACTTCATCTATCAAAACAGGAAATTGATAGTCTGAAATTAATTAATTGAAAGATACCGCTACCTGAAGATTATACAAAATGAAATATGGAGATGTACAAATTCTAGAAGAACAGTTGTAAGAGTTGAAAGTGGGGAAGAAGACTGGGGGGAGTAAATAACTTAAAAAAATTTTTAATTTTAAAAAGATCACAACATGTAAAGCAAAACTATAAATGTACTAGAGAAGATATAAGAGACTATCAATATAATTTTAGAGTGGGCATGGCTTTCCTAGCCCAGAAACATTAAAGGAAATGAATAATAAATTTGGTTGCACAAAAATTCAAATCATTTGCACATGTAAATACATTAAAACAAAATTAAATATTGTTCTAAAATTGTGGTAGTGGTTGCACGGGTCTAAATACACTGAACATACTAAAAACTGGTGAATTGCATACTTTTAGTGGATGAATTGTATGGCATGGAAATTATATCTCAATAAAACTGTTTTTTGAAAAGTTAAAAGACAGATTGTTGAGAGAAAATATTTACATTTATATCACACAAGGGATTTACTGCTTTATATATAATGAGCTCCTTCTAATTCATTAAAAAAAGACCAAAAAAACAGAATAGTAAAACAAAGTAGATGAAAAGGCAACTCACATGAGAGGAAATAGAAAGAACCAATAAGAATATGAAAAGATCAATAATCAGAGAAGCCCAAATGAATGCAAAAATGAAATGCTATCTTTTCCTTACCAAAGTAAAAGGACTGGAAATACCCTGTATTGAGGAGAGTAGGGGAAACTGGCTTTCAGGTGCTAATGCAAGAGCTTAAAAGTACCAACTGCCTTTCTGAAGGGCAGTCAGGAAATATCCATAAGCAGAAAATGCACACCCCCTTTAACCCAGCAATTCCAGTTTTAGCAATTTCTTGTATCTCTTACATATGCAGTCATGAATTCAGGGTTGTTAATTTCTGAATTGTTTGTAATAGAAAAAAATAGGGCCAGCCAGCATAGCTCAGTGGTTGAGTGTCAACCTAGGAACCAGGAGGACACGGTTCAATTCCCAGTCAGGGCACATACCCAGCTCTAAATGTGCATATTAAGCATTTATTATATAGGATAATTGACATATAACATTGTATTAATTTAAGGTGTACAACACAATGATTTAATATATATATACTGCAAAATTATTACTAAAATAAAACTTTTAAATGTAATAATTTACACAAACACACCTAATTCAAAAATATATAGCCACAGAAATGTTAAGATGGTAAATTAAAGATAATATAGCCACAGCAAACTGGAAGAAAATAAAAGTAAATATTAAATTATATAATAATAAAAGCCTAATATGCACATTTATGTGCATAAAACTTTTAAATTTTTAGTGGGTTAATGTATAGTGAGCCACTAGGGACCCTACCTGTGCATGAATTTTGTGCACTAGACCTCTAGCATATCAATAAACCTGGAACATTTTTATTTTATAGTGAGTTAATTGTACCAACTCCATTTACTCCATAGACAATAATTAAGCATTTTCTATGATAAACAATGATTAAAAAATTTAGATAAGAGATAGTCTTACAGTCAAGTGGAAGAGACAAACCATTCTAGGATTATGTGATAAATGTAGTGATAGAGGTATACATAGTATACTATAAGTACATTCATTAATTCATCATATACTTTAGTGATGACTAGGCCCCCTATATTAAATATTCAACTAACTGGTCATGATTGCTGTTTTTTAAAGAAAGATAGAGAGAACAGTGGAACAGAGGCTACAGATAAATTTACTGTGTAATTTATTGATTTATTGTGTGATGACTGTCCCAGTAGAGAAAGCATGAGCTGCCATGGGAACACAGAGGAGATCCATCTAAATCAAATCAAACTGGCTCTTTTCCTTCCTGGCTGCCTGTGGATCAACCACCACCATGAACAACACAGTAACTGTCTGGCCCAGGAAGTTTATGACCAACCTACTACTTCAACAGAAACAAACAGTTATTGACGTCCTTCACCCCGAGAAAGCAAACAGTCCCTAAGACAGAAATTTTGGGAAAAACTAACCAAAATGTACAAGACCACACCAGATATCATCTCTATATTTGGATTCAGAACCCATTGTGGTGGTGGCTTTAGCATTATTTACAATTCCTTGGATTACACACACACACACACACACACACACACACACACACACACACACACAATGAACCCACACGTAGACTTGCAAGACATGGCCTGTATGAGAAGAAACAGACCTCAAGAAAACAGTGAAAGGGTCACAAGAACAGGATGAAGAAAGTCAGGGGGCTGCTAAGGCCAAGTTTGATGCTGCAAAATGTTGGAGATTGGACAACAGAGGAGTAAAGATTCTGCAGTGACCTTATCTGCAGTGATTGTGAAGGTTTTTCACGAGAGGATTAATAAACTGTAAACACATTTTAAAAATTTAAATAAATAAACTCAAACCAGGAGTCAGAAAGGCTTTCCAGAGGAAGTAGTGAAGTTTTGAAAAACAGGTAGACATGAGCATCATCAACATTGGTTTTCATCACTAATGTTTACTTTTGGTAATTTTGTACTTTTTATAATGTTTGGTAATTTTGATACTTTTGGAACATTGTACTAATTTAAGGTGTACAGCCTAATGATTTGCTATAAGTATAAGCTGCAAAATTATCACAAAAATAAAACTTTTAAATGTAATCATTTACACCCTCACATGCAGTAGAACACATCCTATGCAGAGAGCACATGTACCAAGGCACAGGGGTGTGAGTAATTAAAATGTGTACAACTTATTAAAAGGTGTTTGCTATGGCCCTGGCTGGTGTGGCTCAGTTGGTTGGAGCGTGTCATCCTATACACCAAAAGGTAGCCGGTTCGATTCCTGGTCTGGGCATATATTTAGGTTGAGGGTTCAGTCCCAGTTTTCACATAAAAATTATAATAGTAACATTTATTGAGCACTTACTCTGTGTCCATCTCTGTTGTAAGTGCTTTACTTGTATGTAGTCCTCACATTAATCCATGCAGTAGATACTATTAAATGTATTTTCTTATATAAGAGAAACTGAGGTGCAGAAAATTAAATAACTTTTTCTAGTCACACAGCTATACTTAAACTTAGGCAGTCTAACTCCAGATGCCAAACTATTAACCACTCTGCCTCTCATTGGTGTGTGATATTTCAAGTATTTAAAACATTTTCAAGGTTATTTGGAGGCTATAGGTTCTGTACAATATTTCTTTCTATTTATTCTTATTCCAGAATCATGCTGTTTAATTTGTGCTTTTTTTAATGTTTTCATATCTGAAAGTAGTCTATGCTTTCACTCTTTTCTTTTTCAGATTATTTTTTGTAATTAGTGCCTATTTATTCTTCAAAGGAACTTTCACAATAATTTTGTGTAACTAAATCTGGTATTAGAGGATTTGGGTTAAAAGTGTATTAAGTTTATAAATTAAATTGGAAAGTATTCAGTGTTCCCACCAAAAAAAGTGCTATATAGTTCTTCATCTTCTTTCAAATTTAGCAATACAGTTTTATAATTTTCTTAAATTAGGTAACATTTAAGATTATTCTTAGATGTATTATAATTTTTGTGAAAGTGTAATATCTTATGTTTTCTAACTCTTTATTATTGGCATGTAAAAATGCTATTATTTGCATATAAGATTGTGTTTCCTGAAATGTGAAATAAGAAGATGACCACTCAAAAATTATAAAAATAAAAAAGGCATATACTGTAGGCAATCATGGTCAAAACATTCAGGAAAGATTTGAGTCAGTAGGCTACAGAGAAAAGGCTAAAGAGAAAATATGGCATTTTTATTATTGTTTACATATGTTTTAGTTACACATTCGGACTATTGCCACTGATGCATTTTCATCTAACTTTTCCCATAATCAGAGGATGAAATGTGTTGGTGGCTGTAATAGAGCCACCTCCCTCAGACTACGTTGCTCTCCATGGCCCATCCCAAGCCTCACACTTCAAGCTAATCATTGACAGAGCTTTACAATCACAAGCTTTTACTGAAGCGTTGATAAGACAGTCGAGCAGTTAGTGGCGAGTGAAGCCAGGCTGTGCGGCAGAATCTCCAGGGAATGAATGGATTTGCTTCAGGACTGATGAAAGCAACGTACGCTATAGGGAAACAATGTCCACCGGGGGACTGCAGAGATCTGTCATCCTGTCAACATTTCTTCTCCTCCGAGCTGTTACTGGATTCTCCGGAGACGGAAGAGCTATATGGTCTAAAAATCCTAATTACAGCCCGGTAAATGAAAGTCAGCTGTTTCTCTATGACACTTTTCCTAAAAACTTTTTCTGGGGCGTTGGGACTGGAGCATTTCAAGTGGAAGGGAGTTGGAAGGCAGATGGAAGAGGTCCCTCTATATGGGACCGTTTCACCCAGACGCACCTTAAAAATGTCAGCAGTGTGAATAGTTCCAGTGACAGTTACATTTTTCTGGAAAAGGACTTATCGGCTCTGGATTTTATAGGCGTTTCTTTTTATCAGTTTTCAATTTCCTGGCCAAGGCTCTTCCCCGATGGAATAGCAGCAGTTGCCAATGCAAAAGGTCTCCAGTACTATAACAGTCTTCTGGACGCTCTAGTACTTAGAAACATTGAACCTATAGTAACTTTATACCATTGGGACTTGCCTTTGGCACTGCAAGAAAAATACGGGGGGTGGAAAAATGAAGTTCTAATAGATATCTTCAATGACTATGCCACATACTGTTTCCAGACGTTTGGGGACCGTGTCAAATACTGGATTACAATTCACAACCCATATCTAGTTGCTTGGCATGGGTATGGGACAGGTATGCATGCCCCTGGAGAGAAAGGAAATGTAGCAGCTGTCTACGCTGTGGGACACAACCTGATCAAGGTACTGTACCGCTGGCTTCATATTATAGCTTCCGAAAATGAGGAGCAGGAGTTCAAAAGAAACCCTAAGAAATGTATCATCTGTTTAAATAAGTCTCTTTATTGCAATCAACTCAACTAATTTTATTCTAACCCTCAAGGTCTATCCTCAAGTTTCATGTTTAAAGTAGTGTATATTTTATTTATCTAAGCTATTATTACTGTATTAATCCAATTATTTTCCTTAAAAGTGCACTTTTAAAAATTAACTATTTTTAAATGTACAATTATACATTAGAGGATGAGAATATGAGTTTCCTTTCATTCTGTGGAAAACCAGTACCTTATAAATGTAATTGTTGGAAAGCCTTTTCTGACAATATGCAACCATTTCAGAATTATTCTAAGGCATGACCATTTCAAATATGTATTTGTTGTTACTATCGCTATTCTTACTGGTACTTAGCTATAGTAAGCTAAATAAGTGTTAGCTAACTGATACATATTAAATGCAGGAATTGAAATAAATGTAATTCACTGTTGGTTTCAGTTGTTACATAGCAGGAAAGATTAATTGTTCTAGGAGTTAAAATTAAATGAGTAATATCAAAACTGGAAGAATATGCTCTACTAAGTGTTTTAAAGCTATATAGTTCAAAAGCTAGACTTTATGCTGGGAGATGTTAAATAATAGTGAAACTCTAAGCAAAATAAATTAATATTCATTGAGTGTTTAAAGACTACTTTAAGCATTTTACTTGCATTATTTCATTTAATCATCATGATAACCTTATGAACTATGTCTTATTATTATCCCCATTTTAAAGATGAGAAAACTGAAGCTTAGTGAGATTAAATAGCTTGCCCAAGGTTACAGAGTAAAACGCACCTGTTGAAAACATGGGCTTTGTAAATTACAATATAATTAAACACTAAATGTCTTTATTAAGGATATTTTTAAAGGAACAATCTTTTGAAAAATTTCAAGAGATTTTGCCTCACATTGAGGCTAATATTTAAAATCAGGTTTATCTTTTTAAGTCAACTAGTTTGCTTGGGAAAAATAAATTACTCTGAATAACTGTTACATTTTGAAAATGAAAAAACTATTAGTGGGGTTTAATCATGTGACAGGAGAAGTAATCTGATTTCTAATAATCAAATGTTAAATATATAGAAATAGAAAAAATGTATAGGAACATAAAATCACTCCATGTCTTAATTTGCACATACAAAAATACATGAACTTTCTGGATTATTGTACTATGATTCAGTCACATCTGCCCTTGCAGTAAACAGATTGCATTATAATTTCAAGGTCATTTACATATCTTTGAATAGAGTTGTATGTATAACATATTAATGCATGGGTATTCTGTGATTTGGGAAAAAGACATTAAAGGGGAGAAAACTTGGAGCTGTCAACTATGAAGAATATACATATTTAAGCTAGCAAAAATATTTCTTTTATCTAGTTCTTTTAATTATTAAAACAATACATGCTGGTGTAAATTGAGAAATATCAGATTGTACCAAAGGATATAAAGTGAAAAAGTTAAATTCTTCTCTCCTTCTCCATCTGACAACTCCAACCTTGAAAAGACTGCTGTTAATAGTTTCTAATATAGTCTGTTTAAAGTTTTCTATACAATTACATGTACATATATTGTTATTTAATGTCTTATTTTAAAAATTCTAAATTGTTGAAAAGTTTTCAGTTACCTGGGAAAATGTTAACAATTAGAAATTGCATTAAAAATATGTTTAAGTGGCTAATTTAAAGCCTTAAAATTGGCTATCTGATTAAAAATACACAGGAAAAAGATGTAACTAACAAATGGATATTGCTTCCAAACTTAGTATGTAAAATGCTATATTTTCAGATAATTTTCATTTTCCTCTAATTTGAGATAAACTCTGTCTTTACCACAAAATTAGCACTCTGGTAGAGATTTTATTGTTTTAAACTGAGGTATTACATTTTTAAATTATTGTGTTTTCCAAGTAATTTCTTCCACCTCTTTAAAATTGCTAAGGGGTCTCTTGGGTGGTGGGCACACAATGCAGATCATGTATCATAGCGAGGTACACTTGAAATCTATATAGTCCTATCTATCAATGTCACCCCAATAATTTTAATTTTCAAAAAAAAGTGAAATATGCTGCATAACCCAGTGACTTATAGCACTAGAGAGAAAGCTGGCAGTGGTTTGGTAGCCTGAGGTGAACTTGTTTTTCCCACTTGTCCCCTCTCTGCCTTTCTTTTAACATAGCAAAGATTAATTGGATATTTTATGTTGCAATGGAGCGTTTCTTCCTTATTATGCCACCTTGTGACCCAAAAGAAGCATTCTTTAGGATTAATTTTTAGTCCAAGAACATTTATTGAGTGTTTTTTAAAGCCTAATATAAACCTAAATTCATGGATGGTGATTATCACTCCATATCCCAATCCTCAGCTATTGAGAAGATTACCTAGTGGCTACAGGGTCTTTTAAGTTCCAGGATGATCTTGAAAACTCCATCTCAGTCTGAAATGTCCTGGTTTGGAGGAAACCTGAATTGTCTGGCCAGTCCTGAGACGGAGCTGGACAGATCTGGTCATTACCTGGCTTAAAGCAAGTCTAAGCCTCAGATAAAAGTTTGTGGTAATCACACCAGCTAATGGATGCTTCACTCTGAATCCATAACAATATTCAGAACAGAAAGAGCACACCTTGATTGGCCTGTCCATCTTTAAGCACAGCAAACATAGCTTTAAAGATTATCTATAATTTTTGCAATAATATTGCTAGGTGTCTGTTATTACCCCCATTTTACAGAGCAGATACTTCTTAAAAATGCATCATGTCGCTCCCCTGCATAAAATCCATCAGTGATGTCCCAAAACTTCTGGGATAAAGTCCCAACTTTTCATCAAGATCTTCAAGACACAAACTCGGCCTCCATTCCAGACTCCTTCCTGGCCATTCTCCCACCCCCATCACTAATGCCAAACCCTTGCATCCCACACTCGGCTGTAATGCACTACTAAAGTGTCTGGATTTTACCTTACTATTGCCCTCTGCTCAGCCTTCATTAATGCTCTGTGCAACTAAAAAGCTTTTCTTACTCCCAGCTTTGCTGATAATGTCCTTCAAGACTCAATTTAGGCAGTTACCACTCTACGTTATTCTTGATCCTTTAGAGTCAGTGCCCCTCCTGAAGGCTCACATAGTAAGATGTGCATTGAATTCATACCATATGGTGCTTTTTTGTTTCCCCAACTAGACTGAGAGTTCTTTGAAAGAAGATGCTATTGTTTGTCTTCATATTTCTAGCACCTTGCACAGAATATTAGATACATGCTAGGTACATTAAATGAGTGGTTTAGGAATGTCTCTTAAACTTGTAATCAAAGACCCAATCCCAAGTATAAAATACATATTTCATTGCATTATTGCTAATTCCTGAAATCGCCTGTATTAATCCAGTGGTGTATTAGTGTGGACTCTTTTGGTCGCAAGTGACAGAAGCCTAATTCAAGTTGGCTTAAGCAAAAATGAGCCACTTCCTGGCTCAGTAACCAAATCACAGGAATGAATGGACCCGGTAACCAGGACACTCTCAGAAGCCCTTTATCTCGGTCTTTCGTGTCCATTTCTTCTTGAGGGTTGGCATCTTTCTTCTTTGTAGAGGAAAGAGTTCTTTCTCCCAAGTTCAGTTTTTAAAATTTCAACCTGTTTGGCCTATATACTCTCATTCCTCAGATCAGCAAAGTCCCAAGGTTTCACATTAGTAAAGGCAGTAATTGTGCCCGTTTTTATTTTTAGATCAATTTACATGCATAATATAATTTAAATCTGTAGATTTCTTTCCCACTAAAAATGGAATATTTGAGAGCCTCTGAGAAAATACGCATAGAGGTTGGGGCAGGTAAGTTTGCTCATGAGATGGTAGCTGATTCATTTGATTACTCCACTCAATACTGCCAGCTTCCATGATAGTCCTGACCATTTCACAGCTCTAAATTATTATCTTTCATAGCCATATTCTGTCTATATAGTGCCAGGATTTCTCAATTTCGGCACTATTGACATTTTGAGCCAGAGAATGCTTTGTTGTGGTGGGTTATCTTGTGCACTGTAGGATATTTAGCAGCCTCTACCCACTAGATTTCAGTAGTACCCCTGTTGTCCAGAGTTGTGACAACTGAAATGTCTCCAGACATTGCCAAATATACCCTGGGGGGAAGAGCAAAATTCCTCTTCCTTCAGTCCCTTAAAAACAACTGACGAAGTGGTTAAAGGCATGAAGCATAAAGAGCAAGGACATTGAAATATAACCAGTACGAGGGACATGAAAAAGATAAATTACAAAATCACCTCAAGGAGAGTTTCACCAGATCTATAAGTTGCACACACAAACTCAAAATTAATTTATAGTATTATCAGGATGTTTCAGGAGAAGAAACAAAGCTTTCAGAAATATTAAATGAGAAAATAATGTTGATGATTATATCTAGCTTGACTTTTCACATATTGGAAATTAAGAGTGGCTTTTTAATTATTTGTGAAATACTTGAAAGAGCTGGCCCAAATCATTGCTCTTACATATGTAGCTATTTATGAGCAAAACTAAACCTACTTTTTTAAAGCTTGTACTTTTTTAAAAATCAAAATTTAAGAATTTAAGCAAAATGTTATAGAAACAATTTTTATCCATTTTTGATGCTATAACATTGTGTTTCACAAAGTGTAGTTTTTTGGACATCACTCCATGTTGGCTTTTTTGCTGGCTTTTTTGTTTGTTTGCGTATCCAAAAACCACATGTAGTCTTATTTATTAAAACATTTTCCTATATTGCCCTAACTGGTTTGGCTCAGTGGATAGAGTGTTGGCCTGTGGACTGAAGGGTCCCAGGTTCGATTCCGGTCAAGGGCATGTACCTGGGTTGCGGGCACATCCCCAGTGGAGGGTGTGCAGGAGGCAGCTGATCGATGTTTCTCTCTCATCAATGTTTCTAACTCTCTATCCCTCTCC